CTAAGAACCAATCAGATTGCTTGATTTGACTTGTCCGTTTTATAAACATTGTTAGAAAAATCTCACTCCTCACTGGCTTGAGCTTCAATCTCAGGATCCACGTATTATTATCCTCTCAGGAATGGAAGTAGTCATCACATACAGAGCATTTGGTAGTTCCTGAACAGTGTCCTTCACATGCTGATATGTACACAGCTACAGTTGGGATACCTTTGTTATCTTGTGCTACTCTGATACTGGAAGAGTACATTCACTATTTTCCTAACATACCTGTAGATAGAATATGATATGTACAAGAACAGAATATGAAATAAAAGAATGTAAATTAAGACAAAATTAAATACGGTATATTGCGTTGATAATTATTTATATAAATAAGTAGATTGCAAGATGACAACAGGAATGTTTATCGGGGCACTCGACAATCGCATGTATTATATGTATGTTTATAGGTGAAAGAAATACTTGGAGCCTTTTCTTAGCTAAAAGTACTAATATTAAACTGGATACATTCTCTATTCTCTGTTATGCTAGTACTCTGTTATGCCAATACTATACCGTATGAAATGCATGCTTTAGAGGTGTTACTCTTGTAAAGTAACTACTAACCTGAAATGTAAAAAATTTACAATATGTTCCTTTGCATTGTAGTGGAGTAGTATAAAAGATGATACTCAGGACAAAACCATGCAAAAATAAAGAAATCATAAAGCAACTTAAAGGGGACCTATCATGCAAAACGCACTTTGTGATGTCTTTTATACATAAACATGTGTCCCCGGTGCGTCGGGGAACTCACGCAGCGTCAGAAAATAAAACCCTCTCTCTTTTTCTCTGTACCCAAATCTTTTAAAAACGGGGGTACAACGAGCGGATACAGATTTGCTGCCGATATGACGTCAAATCGGCGGCGGACCCACAGCACTATCAGAAACAATGCCTGACGTGTTTTGGACATAATCTCGTCTTTGTTTACATTAGCAAGCCTCGCTAACACTCAGAGCTAACCTGTACTGGAGAGCACATGTGTTTAAAAAGCAGGAAATAAAGAAAGGAACTCGCCTTGTGATAAACCCGCAAGAGAGAAAGCATTTGAGCTCCATACTGTTTCAGAAATAATCCTTGATGTGGTTTAAACAGGATGGCGTTTTAGCACAGCAGAATTTAACTTTATCTCCGGTAGAATTCTGATCAGGCATTAGCTCCGCCTCCTTTTTTTTTTCTTAAGCTAAGGACCCAAAATCCGCGTTTCTCTAACAGGGCTGCAAAAGAGGGGTATGAGCAGTATGAGGCATGGCTACAAGGGGGGATCTGTTTGGTATTTGAAGCTAAAAACTTCACAGCCATGTTTTGTATAGGTATGGCCCTACAATATATGTTTCATAGCATAATAGGTCCACTTTAAATATGAATTGTAGTGGGGTTAAGGTTTGAAGTAGCATGAAAATAAATTACTCCAGTGCCTCATCACTTTGATTAAGTACAGTACTTGAGTAAATATACGTAGTTAAATGTCCCTGTATGTTATGATGCTTATATCCTGTGTAGAGGCAGTGGATGGGTTTATTATTTGAGAGGAAATGTGGAAAATCAAAACAATGTGCCCTCAGTCGACTACAGTCGTCTACAGGGGAAAGGTCAAACCATCGAACCCATGAAGACTAAAACCCTTCGCATAACTCACTCACTTATCGACTAATCTCAGCTTTGATGGCCTAACAGACTTGTTCAGATAACTCTCATGCTATTTGTGACCTTAAGAAATGAAACCGTTGCATTAGAAAGGTGCTGGTTTTACTTGATTTCTGACAATATTTGATATGCATTTGTTTTAATAATTAGTTCAAACGAATGCAGTCTAATAAAACAGTCTTGCAAAGAAGCTGAGCAACAGTCTCAAGCTTATAGCAAGAAACATAGTTTGATATTAGGGTTATAGTGTAAGTGTTTTTTTAAACTTATTTTAGTCTAAACAGTGTCAATATTATATTATGTTTTTTATCGTTTTTTGTAGAGACTTGCATACAGCTTTTAGTTGTTTTCGGACAAATTGAAATGCCATATTTTCAATATTTAATATGCATTCAGTTTATTCAGCACACCCATTTAAATCTAATGCAGTCTAAAACAACAGTCTTGCAATGAAGCTGAGCAGCTGCCAACATTGTACTTAACAGCGAGAAGAATAGTTTAATAGTAATTAGGGATGTCCCGATCTCATTTTTTAGCTTCCGATCCGATTCCGATATTTTCATATAGGTTCCGATCCCGATATTTCCCGATACCGGTTTTCCGATACCAATTTCCGATATCACTTTTTGTGTTGGCAAACAGCATTTAATTTTGTATACATTAAGAAATAGACAGGCACCCAAATAATGTATTAGATGACAAAAACCGGAGTTTTCCACAAGTGAAATTGGCTGGTCGTCCCCTGCTATGCACTCCACAATCAGCTCAGTAATCTTGCGAAATCTCTCGGAGTCTCGAGGAAGTAAAGCCTTTCGTTTCAAGCTGTCCCGCAGTGTTTGTTGATGGAGTCCATCAGTCGCAGACGCTGTCGCTTTATAGTAGGCGGCGTGTTCGTCGGGGTGGTGCTTTTTAAGATGTTTTATTAGGTTTGTGGTGTTGTAGGAGACCCTGTTAGCACCACCTCGTGAGACTTCCACACCACAGACTTTGCATGTCGCAGTCGGCGACTCACTTGTAGTTATTTTTAAAATGATGCCAAACTGCAGACATTTTAACTAGCTAACGATATGTGTCCGTTCCACTTTTCCAACTCGATAATGGCGGCTGATGCAATCGAACAACAACGACAAACAACGTAACAACGTAACAATGGAATCATGGGAAATATTAACTATGGATCGGCCATGACATTTCATTGGATCTGCCGATCCCGATCCATCTTAAAACCCAGTATCGGAGGCCGATCCGATCCGGGGATCGGGATCGGGACATCTCTAATAGTAATGTATAGTGTAACATGTGTTTCACTGCAGTCCGCAAATCAGATGTATTTGTGTTTTTGATATTCTTGCGTTGGATCAACAACAAATAGGCAGTTTTTATTTAGTCATGTGGACTCTGGAATGTACTTTGCAGCGTACAGAGAGGTGTTTCTGTTGTTTTGTCTCGCCTCAATGATTAAACTCCCCATCTTCTCAACATCAGCGTCAGAAATGAAGGTCACTGACTGCAGTTTATTTGTGTTCCCAGCTGTTTACAGACTGCTGTGTTTGTATGCAGCAGTGGGGCATTTCTCACAGCTGACGCACCCAGAGTAAAAACAACACATTTAGAAGAAGGCTTTGTGTGAATGTGGGCTTTCCAAGTGCTTCATAGCTCATGAATAAAGATACAGGTACTAATGTTTAACTGAAGTTGAAGTTGTAATTCCGTTTAACGCTCTCTCCGCTGCTGCAGGGAGTGTATCGAGTGCCGACTCTTCAACTCTGGACGGCTCGCGGACAACCAGACCTGCCAGCGCCTCTGCAAGGATGAAATCATCACCATGGAAACACTCGGTGAGTTCACACGCACGCACGCACACACGCACGCACACGCGCACGCACACACACACACACTGGCACACACACACACTGGCACACACACACTGGCACAGACAAGTATTCACATCTGTAGCATCTGCAACAGTTTCACTTTTCACATTACATACTTCTTCCACTGTCACTTTTTATTAGACTTTTCTTTCTGTGGAGCTCTGACAGAGTTAACGATCGTCCAGCGATTTCCGTTAATATGACATATTTAACACCTCTGATGTGAAACACACGCGCACACACACACACACACACACACACACACACACACACACACACACACACACACACACACACACACACACACACACACACACACACTACAGCCTAACACCATTGTGTCAATGCTAGATATTTTAAATCACGCTGTTAGTGTAATTAAAACAAGATGGAATATATTTACTAACATCCAAATGTGTCATGAGCATGTTACTTTAATCACATGTATGACCAATCACAACAGAGCCGGCCAACTAACCAATCAGAGCAGACTGGGCTTTGGTTTCAGACAGAGGGTAAAAAGAGGTGCTGCAGCACAGGCAGTATGAGAAAAATAAAGAACTTTTTGAACATTAAAGCCTCGAGACATGTCCCAGTAGAGACACTACATACTGATATACACCTGAACATCAGCAGGAGAGGACTCTTTAAAGTAGAGACACTACATACTGATATACACCTGAACATCATCAGGAGAGGACTCTTTAAAGTAGAGACACTACATACTGATATACACCTGAACATCAGCAGGAGAGGACTCTTTAAAGTAGAGACTCTACATACTGATATACACCTGAACATCAGCAGGAGAGGACTCTTTAAAGTAGAGACACTACATACTGATATACACCTGAACATCAGCAGGAGAGGACTCTTTAAAGTAGAGACACTACATACTGATATACACCTGAACATCATCATGGAGAGGACTCTTTAAAGTAGAGACACTACATACTGATATACACCTGAACATCAGCAGGAGAGGACTCTTTAAAGTAGAGACACTACATACTGATATACACCTGAACTTCAGCAGGAGAGGACTCTTTAAAGTAGAGACACTACATACTGATATACACCTGAACATCAGCAGGAGAGGACTCTTTAAAGTAGAGACACTACATACTGATATACACCTGACATCAGCAGGAGAGGACTCTTTAAAGTAGAGACACTACATACTGATATACACCTGAACATCAGCAGAGAGGACTCTTTAAAGTAGAGACACTACATACTGATATACACCTGGACATCAGCAGGAGAGGACTCTTTAAAGTAGAGACACTACATACTGATATACACCTGAACATCAGAAGGAGAGGACTCTTTAAAGTAGAGACACTACATACTGATATACACCTGAACATCAGCAGGAGAGGACTCTTTAAAGTAGAGACACTACATACTGATATACACCTGAACATCAGCAGGAGAGGACTCTTTAAAGTAGAGACACTACATACTGATATACACCTGAACTCATCAGGAGAGGACTCTTTAAAGTAGAGACACTACATACTGATATACACCTGAACATCAGCAGGAGAGGACTCTTTAAAGTAGAGACACTACATACTGATATACACCTGAACTTCAGCAGGAGAGGACTCTTTAAAGTAGAGACACTACATACTGATATACACCTGAACATCAGCAGGAGAGGACTCTTTAAAGTAGAGACACTACATACTGATATACACCTGAACATCAGCAGGAGAGGACTCTTTAAAGTAGGGACACTACATACTGATATACACATGAACATCAGCAGGAGAGGACTCTTTAAAGTAGAGGCACTACATACTGATGTACACCTGAACATCAGCAGGAGAGGACTCTTTAAAGTAGGGACACTACATACTGATATACACCTGACATCATCAGGAGAGGACTCTTTAAAGTAGAGACACTACATACTGATATACACCTGAACATCAGCAGGAGAGGACTCTTTAAAGTAGAGACACTACATACTGATATACACCTGAACATCAGGAGAGGACTCTTTAAAGTAGAGACTCTACATACTGATATACACCTGAACATCAGCAGGAGAGGACTCTTTAAAGTAGAGACACTACATACTGATATACACCTGAACATCATCAGGAGAGGACTCTTTAAAGTAGAGACACTACATACTGATATACACCTGAACATCATCAGGAGAGGACTCTTTAAAGTAGAGACACTACATACTGATATACACCTGAACATCAGCAGGAGAGGACTCTTTAAAGTAGAGACTCTACATACTGATATACACCTGAACATCAGCAGGAGAGGACTCTTTAAAGTAGAGACACTACATACTGATATACACCTGAACACAGCAGGAGAGGACTCTTTAAAGTAGAGACACTACATACTGATATACACCTGAACATCATCAGGAGAGGACTCTTTAAAGTAGAGGACACTACATACTGATACACCTGAACATCAGCAGGAGAGGACTCTTTAAAGTAGAGACACTACATACTGATATACACCTGAACTTCAGCAGGAGAGGACTCTTTAAAGTAGAGACACTACATACTGATATACACCTGAACATCAGCAGGAGAGGACTCTTTAAAGTAGAGACACTACATACTGATAACACCTGAACATCAGCAGGAGAGGACTCTTTAAAGTAGGACACTACATACTGATATACACCTGAACATCAGCAGGAGAGGGACTCTTTAAAGTAGAGACACTACATACTGATATACACCTAACATCAGCAGGAGGAGGACTCTTTAAAGTAGAGACACTACATACTGATATACACCTGAACATCAGCAGGAGGAGGACTCTTTTAAAGTAGAGACACTACATACTGATATACACCTGAACATCAGCAGGAGAGGACTCTTTAAGTAGAGACACTACATACTGATATACACCCTGAACATCAGCAGGAGAGGACTCTCTTAAAGTAGAGACACTACATACTGATATACACCTGAACATCAGCAGGAGAGGGACTCTTTAAAGTAGAGACACTACATACTGATATACACCTGAACATCAGCAGGAGAGGACTCTTTAAAGTAGAGAGCACTACATACTGATATACACCTGAACATCAGCAGGAGAGGACTCTTTAAAGTAGGAGACACTACATACTGATATACACCTGAACATCAGCAGGAGAGGACTCTTTAAAGTAGAGACACTACATACTGATATACACCTGAACATCAGCAGGAGAGGACTCTTTAAAAGTAGAGACACTACATACTGATATACACCTGAACATCAGCAGGAGAGGACTCTTAAAGTAGAGACACTACATACTGATATACACCTGAACATCAGCAGGAGAGGACTCTTTAAAGTAGAGACACTACATACTGATATACACCTGAACATCAGCAGGAGAGGACTCTTTAAAGTAGAGACACTACATACTGATATACACCTGAACATCAGCAGGAGAGGACTCTTTAAAGTAGAGACACTACATACTGATATACACCTGAACATCAGCAGGAGAGGACTCTTTAAAGTAGAGACACTACATACTGATATACACCTGAACATCAGCAGGAGAGGACTCTTTAAAGTAGAGACACTACATACTGATATACACCTGAACATCATCAGGAGAGGACTCTTTAAAAGTAGAGGACACTACATACTGATATACACTCTGAACATCAGCAGGAGAGGACTCTTTAAGTAGAGACACTACATACTGATATACACCTGAACTTCAGCAGGAGAGGACTCTTTAAGTAGAGACACTACATACTGATATACACCTGAAGCATCAGCAGGAGAGGACCTCGTTAAAGTAGAGACACTACATACTGATATACACCTGAACATCAGCAGGAGAGGACTCTTTAAAGTAGGGACACTACATACTGATATACACATGAACATCAGCAGGAGAGGACTCTTTAAAGTAGAGGCCACTACAATACTGATGTACACCTGAACATCAGCAGAGAGGACTCTTTAAAGTAGAGGACACTACATACTGATATAACACCTGAACATCAGCAGGAGAGGACTCTTTAAAGTAGAGACACTACATACTGATATACACCTGAACATCAGCAGGAGAGGACTCTTTAAAGTAGAGGACACTACATACTGATATACACCATGAACATCAGCAGGAGAGGACTCTTTAAAGTAGAGACACTACATACTGATATACACCTGAAAATCAGCAGGAGAGGACTCTTTAAGTAGAGGACACTACATACTGATATACACCTGAACATCAGCAGGGAGAGGACTCTTTAAAGTAGAGGACACTACATACTGATATACACCTGAACATCAGCAGGAGAGGACTCTTTAAAGTAGAGACACTACATACTGATATACACCTGAACATTAAGCATGAGAGGACTCTTTAAAGTAGAGACACTACATACTGATATACACCTGAACATCAGCAGGAGAGGACTCTTTAAAGTAGAGGCACTACATACTGATATACACCTGAACATCAGCAGGAGAGGATTCTTTAAAGTAGAGACACTACATACTGATATACACCTGAACATCAGCAGGAGAGGACTCTTTAAAGTAGAGACACTACATACTGATATACACCTGAACATCAGCAGGAGAGGACTCTTTAAAGTAGGGACACTACATACTGATATACACCTGAACATCAGCAGGAGAGGACTCTTTAAAGTAGAGACACTAACATACTTGATATACACCTGAACATCAGCAGGAGAGGACTCTTTAAAAGTAGAGACACTACATACTGATATACACCTGAACATCAGCAGGAGAGGACTCTTTAAAGTAGAGACACTACATACTGATATACACCTGAACATCAGCAGGAGAGGACTCTTTAAAGTAGAGACACTACATACTGATATACACCTGGACATCAGCAGGAGAGGACTCTTTAAAGTAGAGACACTACATACTGATATACACCTGAACATCAGCAGGAGAGGACTCTTTAAAGTAGAGACACTACATACTGATATACACCTGAACATCAGCAGGAGAGGACTCTTTAAAGTAGAGACACTACATACTGATATACACCTGACATCAGCAGGAGAGGACTCTTAAAGTAGAGACACTACATACTGATATACACCTGAACATCAGCAGGAGAGGACTCTTTAAAGTAGAGACACTACATACTGATATACACCTGAACATCAGCAGGAGAGGACTCTTTAAAGTAGAGACACTACATACTGATATACACCTGAACATCAGCAGGAGAGGACTCTTTAAAGTAGAGACACTACATACTGATATACACCTGAACATCAGCAGGAGAGGACTCTTTAAAGTAGAGACACTACATACTGATATACACCTGAACATCAGCAGGAGAGGACTCTTTAAAGTAGAGACACTGCATACTGATATACACCTGAACATCAGCAGGAGAGGACTCTTTAAAGTAGAGACACTACATACTGATATACACCTGAACATCAGCAGGAGAGGACTCTTTAAATAGAGTACACTACATACTGATATACACCCTGAACATCAGCAAGGAGAGGACTCTTTAAAGTAGAGACACTACATACTGATATACACCTGAACATCAGCAGGAGAGGACTCTTTAAAGTAGAGGCACTACATACTGATATACACCTGAACATCAGCAGGAGAGGACTCTTTAAAGTAGAGGCACTACATACTGATATACACCTGAACATCAGCAGGAGAGGACTCTTTAAAGTAGAGACACTAAATACTGATATGAACCTGAACATCAGCAGGAGAGGACTCTTTAAAGTAGAGACACTACATACTGATATGAACCTGAACATGTGTATAAAAGGCGCCCTTTAAACGAGAGGTCCGTCTGTGTTGACTTTATCCCGCTGTGTTAAATATAAATACTCTGTTTTGTTACATTCTTCACCCTGGAGTGCAACAGTCAGCAGATGTTTAGGAATGCATTAATAAGCACACAGTGATTTATGGCCTTCATGATGCTGCGTGCATTAGAGAGGAGACGGACAGCTGTGTATTTAGTTTCAGGAACTGTTATAAGAGCAGTCCATATTGGCCCCGGTCCAACATGTTTCACAGCTTTCCGGATAGTTCTGCACTCGGTCCGGCCTTAATGGACTCCACATGTACATTCCAGATAGTATGAGCATGAAACAGAGCAGGAGGGGTGACGGGGGGGGGGGGGGGCAGCAGAGTGACCTCACCCTCGCCTGGGAGCTGAGTGTTTCTGGGTGATGAAGACTGACTGAAAACGAGGAAAGCCAAACTATCAGCGTCTCGGCTCTCAGTTATGATTTCACAGCAGAGACATTCAGGCGATGTGAGCAGCGTGCACGAGCTTTTCTCTCCTCAGTTTAACCTCATTTCTCTCTTTGCTCTTGAATCTGAAAACAAACCTCGACAGATTATAAACATGATGGTATGATAATATCTTCTCCAAAAACACAAGTAGAAAGTGAGGCCTTGCAGAATGAAGA